CGCCGCGCTCCGCGCTGCCGCTGGGCTCGGGGGCTCTGCTCTCGGCCACCATGCTGAGAAACTTCTCAGGGTTGGCTGGTTTGGTGTACAGGTCACAGTCAGACTTGCTCTTCTGCCCCCCAAGAAGTCCAACAGCTTCCATGTTCTTTTTGTTGAGGACCTTTCCCAGCTGCGCGTTGCCGTTGACCCTGAAGGACACTTCGCCGTCGTCGTAGTCCTCGGCCACCGCTCGCGCCTCCTCCTCGTTCAGAGGCTCTGGCTTGAGCACCTCGTACATCTGGTCGGGGATGAAGTTGCCCTTGTCCAGCTCCAGGCTGTTGAGGTCTGTGATTTTGACAGAGGCTGTGTAGTGTCCACTGCTGATGGTGATGCCGCTGTGCATGACCACCGCGAACAGCCCGTAGGTGTCATTGGTGGGCTTGGTGCTCCACTCCTCCAGGGACAGCTTCAGGGGCGTCAGCAGGGGAGTGTTGATCTTGGACAGGCCACCGTAGCAGTCAAACCTGCAGGAGGAAGACGCAAGTTAAACCTCTTGCCACAACAGCTCGCAAATCCTGCTTTGGGTGGCCCAGGGGTTGATCTATATTCTTTCCTTCTAGAAAGACATGGGTGATGTGGACAGGAGGAGCTGCTCATTTGTCACCCTCCTGACCACCAACACTGTCCCCCTGGTCAGCACAGACATTGTAGGACTATATAATGTTCAATCTTACAGCCTAGGAACTGTTCACTGAACTACTGAAGAGATTCCTCTCTCTGAAGTATCATGTTAATTTTTAAATCATGATGCTAAGAGTTGAGCTAATCGTTATCATTTGTGCTTCCATCTCTGCACACACGCACACCCCTGCACTGCTTCCCAAACACACATCCATCAACACAAAGAACTCTTCAACCTTCAAGCCTGAAGTAAGCAGGGTTGCTTCATTTTTTCTCCCAAACCTTGGTAAGAGGTTTGTATTCCTAAATAAAGGATTACAAATCTATTTAACCTGGAAGCAGCTTTAGTATCACTCGGGAAATCCGAGTGGTTTCTCTCAGATCCCTCAGTGTGCTGCAGCTCTGCCAGTGGTGCTCACCTAGGGGTGAGTAAGTTACCAACACTTACTACTTAGTGTTCTTCATTAACTGTCCTATGTTATTCCTGGTTTCCAGATCACTCTCTAACTGATTTCTGTTGGAAAAGCATCTGTTCCATAACTATTTAGCATTTTGTTCCTAGCACACAAATTTACCCTGAGAAAGTTTTAAGTCCTTGCACTACAAGGATCTTGTCAGGAGTTTGACAAGAAACCAAATGTTGGGACATTTTACACTATATGCATCAGCCTCCTTGAGTGATTTGGATCGTGATGAGTTACACATTGCATCAGCCCACTTAATTAACCCCTTTATTTAACAGGTTGTGCTGTCCCAATAGATTCCAGTGATGATTCAGTCTTGCTTAACTCTCAGGGTGGGGTAGGGAATATACAACAGAGACAAGCCCTGTAAAACTGAGGTTCCAGAGAGCTCACTGCGACCCAACCTGCAGTTTATCCTGAGAAAGAGTAACTCTTTAATCCAAGGAACTTGCAGCTGTGGCACAACAATACAGTAACAGACTATTTTGTTTTCCTGGGTTTAGGTTTGACTCTGCTCCTAACATTTCACTCCTGTTCAGAGCCACAAACACACTTATATACACACCTCAGTCACACTAACACACTGAAATCTCACTTTGGGCCTAAGCTTACCATGAGCATTTGACTATGCCAAAGGGAAACAGAAGAGAGACAATCAGAGAGTCAAGAAGCAGAAACTGCTGATGCTCCAGATCAGGAATCGGTTCCACTCAAGCAGTGGGACAACCATTTCACATGAACCAGGGAAAAGCAGGCTCTGCCCTTCTTCTGAATGAGCTGCAGCACCAGAAACATTTGGAGGAGGAGACAAGAGGAAACCTTTTCCTATTAGCTTTTTGTTCTTCTTCATGGTAAGAATCTGAAGACAGAAAAATTGCATGCCAAGTCCTCTGCCTGCTCTGAGGCCACAAATTAGTGAAGCTTCACCCACTGCACTGAATTTCACACGACACAAAGCTGATTTTCTCACCAATTGTTCAATTTATAGAATGGAAATGCTTAATTACATGTTACCAGTCACACATTTCTCTTTAATAGCTTCACAGCCTGAGCACACATGGCCTACAATTTTCTCCCCCCACACACACTTGCCAAGGAGAATTACTCATCCCCAGGCAAGGAGGTTTTCACACTGGCTGCTTTATTTTAAAACAAGACACTCTGCAAAGCAGCATCTAGAAAAGATGAAGCAAATCCCTATTAACTGGAGATATTTACATGACCTTCCTCTCTGCTTCATTTATTTACACTCAGTCACGAGAGGACTCGGTAGAGCACAGCTGAGCAAGACAAGATTTGGGGAGCTCAGAGAAGTTGTATGAAGATTCTCAGCCTAAAAATCTAAGTTTACAGCCAGTTCCACTGTTACTACTTTCAGCAATGCCATGGTTGTGTCCAAGGTAAAACATCCAAGCCAAAAACCAGGTAACTCTTCCAACAGTTTCAGCTTCATCAACTCCGGTTCTACATTGGTTTTTCCACTCTGACTTCTTTAATCTCTGGCTGCTAACCCTTGGCAGAAAATGTGTGGCATGGCTGAGGACACATGAGGAAATCCACAGGAGCTTGGATTCAGTCTGACCTGGATATTGGTCTGAGTGTTTTGAAGCAAGGAGGTGAGGACTGCCAGGACAGAAGAGGTGAGTGAGTCACGAGTTGGTGGTTAACCTGCAAGTGCTTCTGCACAGAAACAGAAAAGTAGGAAACAGAGGAGCAAGTGGAAGGTAATATTGAGGTTTCCTTTCAGGTGGATGTCTCAGGTTGTGTTTTTCTGTAATCATACCTGGATTCCATCCCATTGCTCAGCAATACATGATGATTTTTAAGTGTGCAACTTCAAGTCATATACATAAGTCAATATTTAAGTCCAATACTATGGAGATCAATGAAAAGACAATTTTGTATGTCGCAGTCCTGGACTTGTATAAAGAGACATTGCAGAGACACAGGGAGTTTCCTTTCTGCTTTGCCAGAGCCCTACATATTCCCAGAAACCAACAGGCAGAGTGAGAAACACAACTTTGACAGCTTCACAAACTCCCTCTAAAAGTATCTTAATACCCTCAGCATCAGTTATTTCACAAATCTGAACCTGACCATAGTAACCAGCCCTTGCTCAGAGTACCTCTGACAGCTTGTATCTGCTGTTTTTGTACTGCCAAAGCTCCTGTACACTGCAAGTCCTAAAATATTGGTGGCACTAATCTTCCAAGCTAAATTCCATGGCAGGTTTCATGCCTGAGGCTCCTGCTGCTGAGGTGGCTCTGAAGGTCTAAAGCCAGCCCACAGGGAAATGCAGCACACAGGGACCTTGGGGGACAAAAGGCCAAACTACTTTGTGCCCATCCTGAAGCCTCAGAACTGTGACTGCCAAAAGGTTATAAAACTCAGGCGTCACTGTTTCCTAAAGGACCTGGGGGAGTATTTTATAGCTGTAAGAAGTTTCTCCTGGTGAAGCTTTCTGTTATTGTTCATTATTTGAATCTCAGTGGAGAAAGGGAGTTCACTCCAAAATGCTGTGTACAAATTCTCATGGCATCCAGTACTCTAGGGATGGATTTCAGCTTGGTTTTCCCTCCTATCGCAAAGAAAATCCCTAAGCATGAAAAAGACGAAGGCTCACAATCTCTTTCAAAATATCAGGATTTCTACAACATACAACAGCAAACTCACTGCTCAGTAGCTGAACATCAATGATGCTGATATTACTGCATTTTTTAATTAATTGATCCACTTTTGGTGTGTTTTAGGTGTTTAAGATGTTTTTCTCCTGTCCCCTACCCCCCTCAATTTTAGTATTCACATTCAGGCAGAGACCAAAGTATTTCCTAAGGAATTAATCAGTTTTGGGTAATAAGTGTTTGCTCCTTAAAGCATTTTATCTCCTGATTGTATTTCCCCACACCTCATTCATTTTTCAGTACTTACATTCAAGCAGAGACTAACTGTAAATCTGGACGTGTTCTCACTGCTTGCTCTGCCCAAGCACCTCAAGCTGCCTCTGAACTCACAGGGACAGATGACAGTAAAAGTAAACAGCTTTAAGGCTGTTGCGAGAGCACAAGTTTTGCTAAGAACTCTCCTGAAAGCCAATTTTCCTGGAGGTAATTTCTGCCACTGCTTGTAACAACACAAACCTTCATGGAATCAGGGGCTGTGCCCCAGTGATTTCAGTTAACTTTGACCTGGCAATCTGCTTTAGGGGAAGTGACAAAACACTTCCAGCTCTTGTGCTAGGATTCCTGGTACCACAGTGACTGTGCATACTCACTCCAAGCCACTGGCAGCAAAGCACTTCAAGTGAATTGTTATCACTTCAGGCATTTTATCGAACAGGAGGCTGCGCTCGGCCTCGGTGTAGTGGTGGCAGTTCTCACAGAAATATTTGTCCTCTCCCACAATCCTTTCCACTGAGGCAAACTGGGAAATTGCCCATTTCAGAGTCTTCATTTCTGTTTTTGGCTCTGGAGAAACTGGAAAAGAGAAGAGAATCACCACGTTCACAGATGTCCCATTATCTACATTCCCAACACAACAACAAAGTAAACTATGGGAAGTTAAAACATGCTCAGAAAGACAACAACACTGCAAAGAACACTGTGAATGTCAATTCTTGCACTCCTCTGAGTGTAGCAAATAGATGTATTTGAAGCTTTGAAGTATTTCAGGAAGGGAAATATTATTACTTCAAATCTAAGGTTTTCACATGTCTTCAGCTCACACTGACTAATTCTTGCCATGTCTGGGAACTGGGACATGGATTTGAGACCAGGATTTCACTTATTAGGGCAAACCTCTAAAATGAGCAGAAAGTTCCCTTTCACTCCTCACACTCTGCCTCCTCTGCCACCCTCACACTGCTGGCAGCTCACCCATGCTGGCAGCAGCTCTCACACAGCAACATTTCCCCACACACTTTACTCTGAGCCCTTCAAAACAAGGAGTAAAAACTGCTCCAAATTACATCCATGGGAATTACAATTCGTTTTACAATTCTTCATTTCAAAATGTATTACTACTTTTGAAAATACCCAAACACTATGTACAGATCAATAAAATTTGTGAGAAAGACCAAAGGACCAATAGTGACCAAGATAAAAAGTAACAACAATATAATGTACTAAAACATATTTTAGAGTCATTAACAAAATAGTTGGGTTCCAATTTCTTTTATTTTTGAGGAAAAAATGCAGATATTTCCCTTAAAAAAAGTAAACACAGAAAAATGCCTTATGTAGAAAGCTCACATCAAAGGAAATACCTTTTTATAAGCAGGAAAACCTGTACCCAAGTGAAGGGTTGTGAGTTATGTGTTAAGATCTGGAACAATTTTAGAATTATCTGGATCTGTCAACAGTATCAGCACTATGTTTCCAAAGGCTAAAGTTAATCAGCACAAGAGATAACAGGTTCTAATTTTAACCAGCACAAACACGAGCCATGTTCCTTGGTCACTACACAGTGTCCCCCTCCCCGGGGCTGCCTGAGGCAGACACACTTCACAGCCCACCCTGAGGCAATTACTTACTTTCACAACTCTCTTCAGTTTTAGAAAGCTCATCCTCCTGCACTGGAACACTGATGTCCTGGAAATCTTCTCTCCTTTCAGTAAAGCACTCGCACTCCAAGCACCTTGTCCTCAGCACTAACTGGCCCTGGAAGAGTTTCTCCACCAGTTCAAAGACAGCCAACTCTGTACCTAGAGAAAACACAGAGCAGGACACTTAGCAAGGTGCACTTTATTCCAAAGACACTTCAGAACTTGGCTGTCCTTGGAAAAAAAATCATTGTTACAGCCATGGGCCCTTAAGGATTACAGATAGGAACTAAAAACCCAAACAAAACTACTTATCACATGCGTTTTCACAGCACTTGTAAGTAGAAAGGAGCCTCTGTCTCTTGGCCCTGAAACTGTCACAGCTGTTTTAAGATTAGGTGCTTGGTTTCTGTTTGAAGTGTGACAGTGTCACATTCTGGAGTACTTGCCATCAACACACCAAATTCCTAGCACAGACCATCAGCCTCCTCATGGAGCACCACACTGGGGGTTTCCCTGGTCTCCATTCGTTCTCAGGCCTCTCCTCCAATACTGTCTAAACTTGTTGGGCAGTTTTGGACTACTCTGCTGAAGAAATGCAGATCTCAAGATTCTGCATTCACATTCCTGCAGTATCAAAACTGGTGAGTGGATCAGGAAGTTCAAATTAGTAAGTACTGAATTCATCCCGAGGCCTTTCCCTCAACAGGTATCATTTTATTGACATGAACAATCCACAGCTCCAGCCAAACAGCAAATAGGATATAATCCCATGTCCTTCCTAGTTCTTGGGAAGGGTGGGAATAGGGAGGATATTGTTTGTAAAGACTTGGGCACAAAGCCAGTGAGTGGATCAGGAAGTTCAAATTAGTAAGTACTGAATTCATCCCGAGGCCTTTCCCTCAACAGGTATCATTTTATTGACATGAACAATCCACAGCTCCAGCCAAACAGCAAATAGGATATAATCCCATGTCCTTCCTAGTTCTTGGGAAGGGTGGGAATAGGGAGGATATTGTTTGTAAAGACTTGGGCACAAAGCCATAGCCCACAGGGTTTGATTCTTTTTACTCCTGACAAGTCATCTTGCTTTACATCTTGAATCCATTTGCTCTTTCTACGGATGACAACAACTCGAAATAATACAAACCTGGTAATATTCTGCCTTTTTTATATACATATACATATACATAGTGCAATGCTACAGAAATACTTCCAGATCTGAGCTAAACAGGTCAAGTTATAAAAAAACCTTATAAACACATCTAAAAATAAATTCTCTTTCCCAAAAATCTTCTTCAATTCTCGAAAAAATCTAATTTTGTGTCTGAAGCCCTGCTGGCTGTGCAGGCTGAGGGCTGACTTCCCACACATTGTACTTTCTTAATCATACTGATTTTAAGCCCATCCACTTGTGCACCAACCTTCCTTTTTTGGTTCTTTTTCAGTTCCTTTTCCCTGATGGCTTTCCACAGGAGACAAAGCTGCTTCGTGATACTCTTCCTTACTGTCACCATTTTCACACTTGCCACTTGACTCTTCAAGCTCAGAGTCATACTCCTTTCCCGGGTCTTTGGATCCCAAGCCTGTGGTTAGCTTCCCTAGGCTATAAAACTTAGACAGGATACTGGGCTGTTTGCAGGAAGACTTTAACCAGTTTAACCTAAGCCGCGACTTCTTCTGCGTCGGCTTCGCGCTCTCGTTCTCCCCCGAACACTTGGCAATGGCATCCGCTTGGCTTTCCAGCTTTTCTCCTGTTGCTTTCCTCTTGGACCTGGTTTGCCTTTGATTCTCCTCTGCTGCAATTTGCTCTTTTGACACTTTGGATTTTTTCTTTGCATTGCCACCCTCAGCATCGCTTTTCCTTTTCCCGTTTCCTCCCTTGAGGAGTTTGTCTCCGGCTGCGTCTCCGACGTGGCTGCTCGGTGTGTTCTCCTCCTCCCGCGCAGCACTGCTGGTTCCGTTGCTCTCAGGGGGTTGGTTGGGTTTCTCCTCCACCTTAGCTGCAGGCTCTTCCACAGGCAGCTTGTTCAGCTCTTCCTTCTTCAGCAGCTGGCACGTCTCCTGGATGTTGCCCAGGATACACTGCAGGACCTCCTGGGCATCGTGCTGCAGGTACCCTTCGTACATGGGGTTCAGCTCTCTGGGAGAAGGAAACAAGGAATGAGGATTAGTTATTCTCTGCTAACTGGGCAGTATCATTTGGGATTTAAATTAGGGATTTAAAGTCATGGAGGATGCTCTCCAGGCCGACAGGAGTCCTCTCTGTCACAGGGACGTGGGAAGGTTCAGCCTTATGCATGTAAGCACACACTGAACTGCAACCCAGCCGTGAGTCAAAAGGAATCCTTCCCCATCCCTGGGGTGTTCCAGGCCAGGTTGGACAGGGCTTGGAGCACCCTGGGCTAGTGGAAGGTGTCCCCAGGGCAGGGGGTGGGACTGGATGTGCTTTAAGGTGACTCTATGACACCCATGTACCTAAGGCTACGCACAGCTTTAAACCCTCTAATAGATTTAAATCACATTCTTCCAAAATTAACATTTCCTTTCAAATTTCTGACCTCATGGAAGGAACAATAAGCACAACAAATTTACTTCCTATAAGGCCACCCAGGTTGAAGCCCATCTCCCTCCCACCAGTCTCCAAAGCTGTGCAACCATCACAACCTGAAAACATCAGGTGAAAATCCTGATGAGGTGTTTCAGGGGAGTTGTACCTGAGGGTGTTTAGGAGCCTCCGGGGCTGAGTAGCAAGTTCATCCGTGTACTTTTCTGGATTTAAGAGGAAACTGGCCTGAAGCTGCTCCACAGAAAGAATCAATGAGTGCAAACTGCAGATGAGTTCATAACTTGCCAGAGGATCTTCTTTACAACTTCCCTGTAATAATGACATAAAAAGAATAAAACACTTATGTCTGTTACAAGTTAAACTTTTCCTCCTCCCTCAGTCAGTTTTCTGACAGGTGTTTGACAGATTTTTGTCTGCTACGGGAAGCAGGTGAGTTTCAGACAATATACTGTTCTTTTCCAAGTAGAAAACAAACATAAAAGCCAAAGCTGCCATTATTGAATACTCCAAACTACTGAATCATAATTATCTCATGCCAGAAATGTGGTCAGAAATCTCTGATTTCTTCTGTTAAGCTCTAAGATATGTGCTTACAATTTACAGACAGACACTCAAGTTTGAACACAAGTTCAAACCAACTCAAAACTGTCTTTACATGAGACAACACTCTAGAAAACAAAGCTGGAAAAGCTGTTATGAACAGAAGAAATCATTAAATTCACTGGCAAAGTCAGAGGTAAAGGAATGTGTGGAGATTGCTTACCTTTTCTGCCTTTTGCTCTCCTTCTTCCTTCAGAGACTCTTTCTTCTTCGAAATGATGTTATACAAATGTTTTACTCCAGTTTTAAAGCCAGGACAAAAATATAACACCTGAAAGCAACAGTTGAGAACAGGACAGTTAACTCCAGTAAGAACTTCCTCCACATCTACATCCATATTTATGACCCAACCAGCACCTCCCAGGCTGCTACAGAGCACACCAAATCCAGGATTACCCTCAGCAGGGAGGAGCCCTGAGCATGGAAACTGAGGAGTTACCCAACCAAAGCAACTCCAGCACACACATTTCCCGCAGCAGCATTTTCCCCCCTGCCATCAATTGCCTTCACAGCACACCCAGACATCCAAGTAAGACCAAACCCCGAGTCCCACCCAGCTGTGCCTGACCACCCTCCCTTTCTGAGCTCACCTGAAGCACACTGTTCAGGTAACAGGTGTTCCCCAGGTTGTTCAGGCCCACAAAAGGCAACATGTTGTCTTTTTTCTCACAGCTGACCAGGGAGGGAGGCTGTGCTGCAGGAACAACCTGGTCACTGGGAAACAGAGGGAGCAGGGGGTGAGACACACTCGGGAACCTCTCCCAGGGTCCAGGTACCAATCTCCCATCCCAGAGGCACCTCAGGGAATTAACTCATCAGTGAGACACACTTTGACATGATTCTGATCTGCGTGTCTCGATTCACCCTGAGCACTCAAACACAAACTCCTCAGCTCTAACACTTCAACAACACACCCAAAACACTCAATTATATCAAATTCAGCCCAATCTTATGTTAATTCTAACACATATTTTACATAAAATATCAGGAGATCGATTTAAGGAGCCAAAAATCTTCACTTTAAAATACTTTCCTAATTTCGTTGTTTCTCCCTGAGGCAGAGAAACGTGTCTAGAACATACTACCACTTGCTCCAGAGTCACATCACTTCACTTCTGGATGCAAAGCAAAAGCATAAAACCAGAAAAAAAACCTAAACGAAAAGAAACCAATGAACCTGATGCATTATATATTGATTATCATAATTATTAATGACTAATACAAGCAATTAATGCACTGTACTGACACAACAGAACCAAGTATTGAAGTCTCCAATTATTTCTAACTGACCACAATTAAGCAACTTCTCTTCCCCACTTAAATTCCCTCCGCAGCAATGAAAAGAGTTGATGGATTTGCTCAGGGCTAGGCACACCCCAATGAATGACAGAAAACACCACAACCAACTGCTCTACCTCCAGCAGAAACAACCTTTAAAACCCAAGGTATTGAGTTTTAAAACCCAACCTTTAAAACTCACATTTAAATGCACTTTAAATTATTCAGGAGAATAACTGGCTGTAATAACTTCACACAAAGCAACTCGGGAGTTATCCCAAAGTTTGTGCCAGAGGCACAGAGTGGGAAACTTATGTTCTTAACACAGTTACAGAAATTGGTTATGAACATCCACAGAGTGCCAAACTTGTCTCAAAACAGGTATAGGAACTGGTTATGGTGATCAGTTAGTAAAGTTGGTTTGAGGAGTTGCTTATGGTGATTAGTCGAGTTTGAGTAAGGCTGTTTGAGGAGCTGGTTCCAGTGACTGGCCAGTTAAGTTGGTTCTACTGATTAGTTAGTTAGGTCAGTTTGAGGAATTGGTTGTAGTTGTTAGTCGAGTTTGCCAAGATGGTTTGAGGAGTTGGCTATGGTGATTAATTGCTGAGTTTGATTAAGTTGATTGGGGAAGTTGGTTCTAGTGATTAGTTAGTTGAGTTTAATTAAGGCTGTTTGAGGAGTTGGTTCCGGCCATTAGTTAGTTGAATGGGTTTGAGGAGCTGGTTATGGTGACTAGCTAGCCAAGAGGAATCGCTAAGGCGGTGAGTCAGTGGGGTCGGTCTGGGGAGCCGGTTAGGGTGACCGGTGCGAGGAGCTCCGGCGGGCCCGGGGCTGCTCAGTGCCCGCCCCGGCG